TTTTTTTTTTTTTTGTCGTGTATGTATATGCCCCCGGGCCAAAGTGGTATTTTTCTCCCTTGGCTGCTCTTTATCCGTCTCACCGCGAGCGTGAAATGGGAACGGCTGCGCTTCTTCTTCCTTCCCTGAAAGATTTCGTCGAGGGTAAGTATAGCAGCACACGGGCTGTCGGCCGTTTTTACCCGAGACAAAGGAAACGGCACGTTGCGCGCAGCTAGCGCGAATGGGATCAATCGGTCCAATCGTCCGGGAAGAATTTCCATTGTGTGAATACATACCTACTCCCCGTTGCGCGTTATCGGCACGAGCGAGATTAACAGTGGCGATGGCCCATGTACACCCATAGACACGCTGATTTTTACCTTCAACGAAATGATGTAGAGATTTTCGTGGAAGAAAAAAAAAAAGAATGAGACGTCCACGTATATGAGCGCGTGGCGATGCTCTCTCTCTCTCTGGGTGAGATGCTTAAAACGCGAACACGCAAGTGCACTAAAAATAAACCCGTGGCAAAAGCATCGGTAAAGGCGCACATGCACAAATATATATGTATATATTTATATAGAGAGTGAAGTGGAACGGTACAGTATACTTACAGTAGCGTGGGCGAGGGAAGAAAGTGCACGAGCAAGTTATCCGGCGCTCAGCCACTGGTATGGCAGAGCGAAGCCAATCAGTGGATTTAGTCCCTCTATAATATATGTGCTCCACTGCCGGAGTTGATTATACACTACACGTATATTATGTATATATATATATGTATATATATATGCATGAAAGCCAATAAGGCCAATAGTTTATTGTTCACTTGCGTATGGGTCGCTCAAATATACCTGACACAGGCCCGACGATACGACGATCAATCACTGATGGGTACGACCCTATCTATTTGCTACGTGTCTCTTTTGTACGGGCCTTTGTACCGTGGCTTGGAATATTATTGAAGCCTGCCCGGTTTTGCCCGTCTATATTGCGTTGTACGATTGATTTGCTCGATACGACGCTCATTTAACTTTGAATCAAAAATAACAAAGTAATTGTTTATAATACAAGCTTCAAGTGCCAGTTATCACTATTGCCACGAGGTTGTTTTAACCGCGTTTAACGAGAATTTATCATTACGAGCTTGCGGCGAGCTTGCAAAATCGGAAGGAATAAAAATGAAAGTAAGTATTTTCATACAACAAAACCAACCCCCCCATGGGTACCTACTACTACGCCAGTCGGCAATCACTTGACGGCAGGTTACCAATAACCCATAACAACCCAAAGCTGCTTCACTGGAGCATATACAGCCCCACAAGTTTCCGAGCTTTTTCGAGCTAATTTAGCTCCCGATGATCTCCCAGGCCCATATACCCCAAGATACCCTTGCTTGCCTACGCATACAACACAATATTATCCGGTATAGGTACGACGTAAGGTATACATCATCGTCGGCGTCGGCGCGCCTCAAAAAGTAGCTCTCCTTCTCTCGTTCTGTCCCATACCCGACATCTCCTCGCCCTAAGGCTTCAATTATACGGTGGTGGTGTATAGTTGCACGGCAGGGAGGGGGATGCGACGAGAGCTCTTGTCTACGCTATATATACAAGTCTACCGGTGGCGATGATGGTGGTAGCTGTACAGTAAACCACCGAGGCGCAATCGACCACTTTTCCAAGGCCCTCGCTCGTCTGTACTCTTTACCGTGCTCCCTGCAATACATACACATTGGTTGGTACACCGTGCACTCGTATATGCGTTTTGCTCAACGTATTATGCCCGTGGATGTAACTCGAAGTAACGATGCACAACAATAGATAAGTATGGGTATCGAGTTGCGCCACAGCGAAGTAAGCGTGCACGCGCGCGAGGGACACTCGACGTTCGTTAACGAGTATGTATCGTTCGAGTGGTGTGATAGGCGCTTGTGCGTGAAAATGGATATCTACACGTGCCTACATACATATGTATATATTTACTTGTGTAAAGGGTCGCTCGGGAAATTTAAATCCTTTTTTTTTTCGACCTTTTGTACTCAAGGGTTGTATTGTTTTCCTCTTCGTTTGACTCATTCGTTAGCAAAATCTGATAAAGAATGGGTATTCGTTTGTAAAGAGTATAATTAATTTGGTCGGTCAATGTTTGATGAGACGTTTTTTCCCGTTGGTTTATTCATCGTGTACAAGTAGAAAGCCACGATAAACAGATGTTGGGAAATAATGTATCCTTCGAAGATTATCCACAAACAGAGGAATGACAAGTTTTTTTTGTTTGATTCAAGTATTTGACAATAGAGTTGAGGTTGAAAATGACAATGTCTTTGTGTTGGTACATATCAAAGCCGCACATTAATACACATCCCAACATATTTTTGAACACTTTTTTTATCTCTCCATCGAAACCGATGCAAAATTTATTTTAAAAAAGGAACAAAATTTATTTACGAAGTCGAAAAAAAAAAAAAAAAAAACTAAATTCCACACAATCATTGCCGAAGTTGTACTTCAAGCTGTAGTTTGAGAGGTGTAAAAGTGAAGTTTCCCTAACATTCTCGTTAAAAAAAAAAAAAAAAAAAAAACTTTAAATATAACACAGAAGAATACAGTATGACCATTTTGACACCAATCACAAGTGCGAGCATCAGCATAATCAATCCGTCCAAAAAGCCCAAAATCAACCAATCACACCTTTCTGTATGTGTATACTTAACGTCAGACTCCGTCTCCCAAAACTGTATCCCAATCCCGCAAGTATAGACACACTCCGGACGTAAGTGCCCCCCCCCGTTCTCGAGTTTATCATCGAAGGCGCAGCATGTATGTGTATACAGTAAGTAGTCAGATGAAGCTTCCCTCAAGAGGCCGTCGGGGCATCAGCAACCCACAGCCACGAATCCAAGCACTCGAGCATGTAAGGCTCTTCACTCCACTCGACGAGGAAGAGCTCTCGTGGCCCATCGAGGAGGCACCCCCTCATGTACATACACATATATATATACAAGCTCGGACGAGCTGCTTGACGGATTGGCGCGACTGCATTATGCGGGGGGTACACCACGAAACGTCCAAAGTGGGCAGGTATATCTAAAGGAGAGAGCATCGAGGGAAAAAAAAAAAACAAGTAGAAGCAAAGGAAGAGTGGCATTTAAAAGACGCTCGTGCTATCGGTGTATCGTAATATGTATAGGTAGCTGCGTAACATTTCTGGGCGTGCTCATATATACCTATACGTGTAGCTATTGTGAGCAGTCCAAGATTCTCTCTTGTATCTGGCGTCAGACATCTGGCCGAGACATCGGGGATCGACCTCCTTTCACAACGAACACTACCTGTGTCTCTCTCTCTCTTTTTTCTTGCGCGCCATTTTTTTGTCTCGCCCCCCCCCCTCGTCTCTTTATTCGGTGATCTTTTGGGTAATGTGCGCCTGTTGGGCGTGTGGGTACTCACGTACATGTGTACAGTATATAGCTTTCTTACGTCTCGAGAGAGGGTGTTGAGGATCGAGGGGTCGCAGCAGCGCGAGCCTTTATACTTTTGTTGGGGCATTTGCATGGCTCCGTGCGAGCGAGGACTGTTGGGTTGGCTGCTGGGAATGACCAGCTGAGGGGATGTGTCCATACCGAAGGTCCTGAAAATCAGCATGGATACTTAACCGACTTTTACGCTAATAATCAACGTTTTGGCATACAACAGTCTGCCATCTGCCGTATGGGGTAAAACTAATTTGGTTATCACAAAAATGAATATGCGTGGTATTAATTTTTTTATTTTTTTTATTTTTTTATTTTTCCGTTTATTTCGGTAGGATTAAAATAATCGTGCATCCACCGGTACCATGGAGCCCGTGAATTTGCAAAGTAATAGCGGGGAAATCCAAGCTTTGATATACTTCAATAAATAAAAATGTTGAAGAGATTACGGTAAAGTATCAAGTAGTGCTCAAAAATTGCGTGGTAATAAAAAAAATACACGATAACTTGAAAACTGTAATTATAAATCAGCTTATGATGGTACAATTCAAAGCACCAGCTTGTAAAGGCAAACTCAACAAAATCGCCCGAGGGGTTGGGAATGAATAAGTTGCTTCCAAGGATAAAACAAAGCGTTTCACGGAGTTAAGTTGAAAGAGCGAATGAGACAAGTGGTCGAAAGGAAGGGAAGCAAAAGTAAGGAGATCGAGGGGGCAAGGCAAGACACGAGACTCTATATATCTCTTCACGATGGGGCTACGCATCGAGTAAAAGATATGTATGGTAGCGGAGGGGGGGGGGGGGAAGAAAAAAAAGAAGAAGGGCAGACTACGGAGAAAAAGTGCATAGTCCTAGGGCTTCGTGAAGCCTCTGCTCCTCGTAACTTCGGACACCTCGAGCTCTCTGTTTTTCGCTTGTTGTGGACTCTGCATGCCATATATATATACCTACTGTATTCAGAAGTGAGAAAGAAAGGGTGAACTTTGGCCGTGCCTGGTAAGTTAAGTAGTCTTGCGTGCCAAAGAACCTTTGTCGCGCCTACAGTTGAAGTTACGTGTCTTTGTCACTTCTCCAGCCGCGGCCTCGGTGTAACATTATTATACATGCACACTTCGGTGATCGATACTTTGCACTTGGCTGTTTGCTCTGTCGCAGCAGATAAATTTTGCTTGTTTTTTCTTGCAAGCTCAATTGCACTGATCAAATGGGGGAGTCCAAGTTTCAAAGTCAAGTTTATATGACGAGCAGACAATGGAAAATAAAAGGACAATGTGCATATCTGAAGTGTCGATTGTCTATGAATTACTGTACAAACACAATACAGAAAAAAAAAAAAAAAAAAAAAAAAACGAATTTTGGTACATTCAATTCAAGCGTACAAAATTTTTGTAAAAATGAATCAATTGACGAAAATTGATGATAACGATTCATTGCAAAACCATAAAATCCCTTAAATGGATAAGATAGCGATCTTCCATCCTGAAATAAAAAAAAAAAAAATAGAATCCATTTCAATAACCACAATAATCGCACATGTCGTATATAGGCTGGGCCTCATGTCGTCGCTGATAGCGAGCCGCTACCCAGTGGGCCTAGGGGTGGGTAGCGTCTTCTTCCCGTCGACGCTCCAGCACCTCCAGCACCAGCAACACCAGCACCACTCGGCAGCGCGATTGGCCGCAGCGGCTGCAGCCTCGAGTGCCCTGGGAAACTCGGAGATCGGCGAGACGGATGGCACGGGCTTGCGCTCGGTGTTGCCGGCAAACTCGGCTGCCTGGCCCTTTCCCTGGAGCAGGCCTCACGGACTCCAGGGACTCGAGCATCCTTCGCCCAGCGACGTGGCTTCCAACTTCTCCAGGATCAGTCCCACTTCGGCGTCGTATCCTCAGCGTGGTGAGTCTTTTTTTTTTTTTATTAATTTACTTTTGTTTTTTGTGGTCAAACGATAGTTCAAAGGAATTCGGGATGTACTTTGTTCGGATCACCTACCCCCGTACCAGTTGAATTATTGTTTTACTGTCACCCATATAGCTAGGGGGTTGGCTTTTTTTTTAATGTCTCTGAAAATTTGAGTTTGGTGGCAAAAATTGAAGAAAAATTTCTCCACGTTTTTGTAAATTTTTTTAGATTTTCTTTTTTGCTGGATAAGTTTAAAATGAGTTCTATTGGGGAAATATTTACAAAAATAATCAATCTGCAATTGAAATTGGGATGAGTAAGAAATGTTATCGGTATTGTTAAAAGTATCGAAAATAAACGCATCCGATCGGATCACCAACAACAACTGCACAGACTGTAATCCGCCGAAAGGAGGGGAAAAAAAAAAAAAAAAAAAAAAAAAAAAAAAAAAAAAAACGAGTGGATCGTTATACCTCGCCAGCCTTCGTTTGGAATCATCGAATTCGCTGCGCAAGCACTTGAAACCCGACTCGTTTTTCCATCTATGCATGACGTGTGCCTCCGGCCAGTGTTTTATCGAGTCACGGGTGTATGTAGATCTATAGTATAAACGTATGGATAGACAGAACATAGACTCATTTTTCACGATTATACTCGTCAATTGTCGTGACGCTCTTTTTTTTTGGAATACAGGAATAAAGGCAAGCACTGATACAAATGCTAATTTATTGCATACTTCATTTGGCTTTTGAAATTATATTATGTACAGTTCACTAAAATCGATTTTAAAAAATTATTCTTGGTAGCAAGCAAAACTTTTAAAAATTGTATTCCCCGATAATTAGTTAAAAAGGGCTAAATGTTCATTTTGCTAAGCTTCCGTTTCTAATGTAGATGGTAAGACTTGAAACTCTTGGATGTGTGTACCATTCATTCAACTGTAGCTCAAATTTTATACTGTAAAACATACAAATAAAAAAGTCGGCAGACAAAAGAAAATGAATCAGCTGATCCTCAATGTGACGGACGGTCATAAAATTACGTGAAAAATCCTTAGAGCAGTGTCGACGGCAAGGTATATACACGCTTGCTCAGCGAAGCAAATAAAATATTGCCGTTGCCAGTTGGCTGACCGACTCTCGGCATTAGCTATGCAGATCCCACTTGTGCGGGCGATCCAATTTTGTCGAGCCGCTTATTGGCCGTTCAACAACCCGGTTTGCAACGCATTCAATTTGAAACTCGATGTTTTAAAAAACACGACGAATCCCCTTTGACCTGTAATATTATAATCATGTTTGCTCATGCAGTTTTACTCGATAACTATTTACAAATCACTTGTACGTTGAAAATGCTTTGCTTTCACACTAATTCATTATACATGAATGAATTATTTAATTCTTAGAACTTTTTTTTTCTTTCATGCGTTCATTACTGTACACTTTTTTAATTTACCCACAACAATTTTATTGCTGCATGGTCACTACTCAAAGTCATTTAAAGAGCTAAAGTTCAAGCAGGGGTTGAAAAATCAATACTGACACAACAACAAGACGTACACACGTAGGTATATTTGAATAAGCGGCGATTTCGCCTCAACTCGCGTTACGTGATAAACAAAGTGTTTCTACAAACGTGTGCACTAGATTTAAAATAAGCACCTTTAACTGTTTATTAAATAAAGAAAAAAAAGAGAAAAAAAAATAAATTATCCAAGAGCAAATGAAAAGAAAAAAAAAGGAACACAATTGACTATACCCACTTTTTTGCTCTCCCTCCACTTTTCGCGCAAAAAAGACAACTTATTAAACAAGGACAATGACAAGTCGAAGTATAAAATCCAGCTCCCTCGCGGAAGGTTGAACAAGAGCTCCCCCCCCCCCCTTCCTCACCGCGCCGGCAGCGATGCACATTATAACCGCAAACAATGATGCACAACAAAACGAAGAGAGGAGGATAAAGAGGAGGAAGGGAATCGAGAAGCCAAGGCTAATTTATCATCCCCCGAGCCGAGGAATAAATTAGCCGATTTATCGTCTCTCGTTAAAGACGCGCCGAGCCGAGAGTTAATAGACGCGGGGGTGGGAGGTCGGTAAGATGAGGCTGCGGAGGGGCTTGAAACAAACAGGAAAAAAAAGAAAGAAAAGAAAAGAAAAAAAAAGAGGGAAAATGAAAGCAAGTCGCTGTTAAGACTTGAGTTTGATGCGGAAGCCCCGCAGCGCTTCGCCCGTGTTTCTGGGCGCGGAGTACAGGAGTCGAGGGGAGGCCTGCCGAGCTAATAGGGAGTTGAAACTTAAGTGTGTATATATATTTACACGCGGAGACGTCGAGCGAATGGCTCTTTTTTTTTTTTTTTCTCGCTGCTCGCTTCGTGTTTGCACTTAATTGTTCTCAAAGGCGTCGAACGACAGAGTGACGGTTATTAATTTGCGATGCACTCCGCTTGATTTTTCATTCAATTTGTTTCGCCCTTTTTTCATCGTTAGGGTAACTTTCATTATTTATAATTTTCAATGTCTTCCTAATAAGTGTATCGTCGATGAAGTATTGATTTAAATCGTACTTTTTACGCGAAACAAAACTCTTTACTGTGACAACGATATAAACAAAAGAGGGAAGTAAAGATCTTGTCTTGTCTCAATTTAATTATTTCGACAGACATTGTTGCCCTTTCGTACATGTATCTTTAAAGTGTAAATTGACCCTTGCGAGTAAAACCTCACGTACTGATATTATACATATAAGTACAAGTGATCGAAAATAAGTAAATAAGTCCTCGTGAAAAAGCTTTGAAACCCTTCAATTTTTCTTTGGAACCAAATTGGCTTTTCCAAAAACTCGATAAAAAACGTGTAACATTTTATTCTTAAAATCACTGAAAACAAAAAGTATTGATGAAAAAAAAAAAAAAAAAAAAAAAACTATTGAGAGAAAATGTAAGTCAGAGGGTCGATGGTGAAGTGGAGCAAAGCACCTTATCGATAAAAAGAGCACCTTAATCGACATCGGTAAAGTGCAATGTGTACACAAGGGCTCTTCCACTTCCTCTCTTAAACACCCCCACGCACACTATTCATTTCGCTTTCATACACAGCAAACACGTAAAGTGTAAAAGCACATGTATAGCATACGTAGTAGGGATGAAAGAGAGCCGTAGATATTATATAGGTGTATATTCTCGTGCAAGTGCGGTGGTGAAGGCGCAGGCGGCAGTACACACAGCAGGTACTTACAGAAGAGGACAAAGTCCGCGAGCAAAACGATCGACGGGTCTAAGGCGATCGGTGTTGGTTTGTCCGTAGTAGGTAGTTGCAGGCTCGGAAGCCCCTTTCGAAGCCCCACGTAGTTTATGTGCCGCTAATGTGGCTCTGCGAGTAAGTATGTGTAAGCACGTATTTGTACACAACACAAATATGATGTGCGCTTGCACCAATACTCGAAAACTACCACGTCGTGATTTTCTCTCCTTTTTTTTTTTTATTCTGTTTTTCATCAATCTTGCACTTTGTCGATCAAGTTTTTACAGAGTGGACAAACGGGGGAGTCCCCACTTTAATTACTTTCACCCCCGAGCCGGCGATTAAACACTGATTGAGGGGCTTAAAACATCTTTGTTTAGCATGGAAAAGGTAGTACAATGTCAGTATTGTTATACTGTTGCAATATAGGCTTTTTGTTCTTCCGAGCGACGTGTGCTCGATGTCATCGATACATCGAGGGTCTTACGTTGCTAAATCCATTAGACCGTATTATACCAGTTGCGCTGATTCGAGAAAGTAGGTATTAGCACTAATGTCTTTGTTTGATTGTTCTTATGTGTGATTTGTCGTGCTGATGCTGCTTCTCTTGTCAATCGATTTAATTGTTGGCAAGGCAGTTTCTTTTATTGTTATACTCACTTGAAAATATGGTATTTATAAAACTTTTATCAACACTGGAGTGTGTATGTGCATACCACATGACGAACAATTGATAATATTAAAACGTTAGATTTTTATTTATCTCTAGGAATCACGGAGTTTTAACATTCGCTCGTATTTCGAATTTTCCAGTGGCTTACAAAATCAAAACACAATAAAAAAAACTGTACGAAAAAAAAAAAAAAAAAAATACGCGTTTCACGGACGGATCGAATGTCAGTCGCGAAATGCGCAGCGGATCCGAGTTGTTTTCACTGCGATGATCGGCGAGATTGATCGTTCGGTCGTTGTAGTGCGGAGGGAAGGGGAGACTTGGTAAACAAAAGTAGATTTGGATGATTTGCCAATTCAACGGTGACGCGTTTTGGTGATTTACGGGATGATTGGGATATTGACATGAAATCGTCAATGTTTATTTACTTTGAAGCGAATGCAAACTTTTTAAATATTAATACAATACGTGCGATACTGGTTTACGTGACTTGTGTGCACTTAATTAATTACACGCCAAAGTTGTCATATGAAAATAACGAATAATCTCAATATGTAATAATGACGAGTAACGCTGCTTTGTGACTTCCACACAATTCACGTGAGGTAATCATATGATTATGCAGAACTGTCAGTGCAACACATTAAATTTATCATTTGTATGCTGACTCGTCGATAATTTGTAAACAAATGTAATTTAATGGGCATAGCGATGGTCATACGCGTACTCGCGCGGAATCAATGATTAGCTCTTAATATACACGCCTACATAATTAAATAATCATTAAAAATTAATAAAAGTACCCCGAATACCATGCTCATTGTGCTATCGAGCGTCAAATCATCAATTACGCGCTTTGCACGATACTACGCCATTGATTTGAATCTGAAATATTCATCGATGGCCACAATAATTCCCATCAATTCACCACTAATATATGAACCAAGTGAGATATTCCCTTTTGACCACTGCAATATCGTGTCGGCGAGGCTACCATCAAAGCCGTAATTGATTGGTTCACCCATGTTGGTAATTAGAATATCCATCAGTTAGCTTCGGCGCGTAAATCGATGATTTATTGACTCGAGTGTTGTAAAATAGCGAATAATGCACAGTTGGACCAAATAATCTTAAAAAAAAAGTCCCCACCATCTAAAAATCGGCTCTCCCTGTAACCGTGAGTTTAATTGTTCGAGGAAAAAAAAAAAAAAACAACCCTGAAAAAAAGCCCATCAGTGCACGGTCCATCAACAACAAAAGCCAAATCGCATTCGAGCAAAGCACCATAGGCCGCACCGACCAATTTCGCACTCGAAACGACGGGCGCGCTAATGCCCGCGGCAGCCTCGTATACCTGCGCATAAATACTCCATCATCGGAACAAATGCAGTTCCACGTCGAAACATGGGCGCATTGCGTGAAAATTCAATGTTAAATGGGCGCGTATCGATCCGCGCAATATCTGTATCGCGGGGGAACCGCGCGCAAATTGACGTTTTACGTCAAATGTCCGGGTTCCTGGCGGGCGGGGCTCCGAAACTCTCGAAAGCCGGTTTTGGCTTTGGTAGGGTATTTCGGAGCGGCGGGGAAGGGGCGGTTGGTGCGTGGAGGGTTGGAAAAAACTTTCAATTAAACGCGCGCGCTGCGGAAAAACGGGATTGACGGGAGAGAGGCAGCGAGTAACCACTGGTGGCGGCATTTATACGCGCACGCACACATACTTTTTTTTCACAAAAAGGTTTTCCTCGTTAATTTCGGATGAAAGTTGAGTGATAGCTTTTTTTGATGAAGGGTGCACGTGTGCGTGTGAAAGACGCGCTGTGAATGCCGGAATGAATTTGCGTTGGTTTTGCATTAAATGCTGAAAATAATTGGTGGATTTTCAAAGTATCTTCGAGTGTGGATATTTTATTTTATTTTACAAATTTGTTTTAATCATATGGCTTGAAAAAATACGAGTGTACTTTTTGTTAATGACGCGTTCGATGAAGGGAAAAATTAAGTACTGCTCTAAAAGCATAAGCTAGTGTAAGCTAATAGCAATCTATGTTTTAGCAATCAATATAAGGATATTATAGAGTGTTGATTTAATAAACAAAGTGTAATAAACTAAAATACCACATCTTAAGAAGTTTAGCTATATTTTATAAAGAAAAAGAAAATAATTTATTTTCGAATTTAATGTTTTGTTCCAAAGTCATTTCAAAACGGTATACCCCCAGCTTCATTCTTGTATCCTGGGTATCCTATTGTAGGACATATCCAAAATGGCACACCCTGTAATTTCCAAGCCTCTGCGTCTCCTAAGGGTTGCTTTGTACCTCGCTTTATACATCCAAAACGAATATTTTGTATCTACATAAAACAGTCCTATACTTTTAAAAAATATGCTCAAAAAATGTTTGCAGGTACGAGTGTTAAATAAAGTTAACAATTAAAATTTCTTTTTTAATGGTTCAGAAACGCGGTTCCCATGATTAAAAAAAAAAAAATCTCCGATATCCATAACAGATGGCCGTCACCAAGTGATCCCGTTCAAACAATTTCTTACCCAACAACTGTAAAATGTCAAATCCAGCGCAACAACTCACCGATTCTCGCTTCTTTTGTTCGTGTAACGCAGAAGACCTCGAGGACGATGCAACTACGGACGACCGGGTGCGCCGATCCCATAGTCCCATGAGCGCCGACGACGAGGCCTCGCACGACGACATGGCCGACGTGGACGACGGTCCCGACAACGACCCCGACCCCGACAACCCCTCGAGATCCGGGGGTAGCTTGCAATCCAGCAACGGCCAATCCATCCAGGCATCGGGTAACAACAACAACAACAACAACAACAACAACAACAACAACAACAACAACAGCGACTCGAACAGCATGAAGCGCAAGAAGAAGACGCGCACCGTGTTCTCGAGGACTCAAGTCTTCCAGCTCGAGAGCACGTTTGACATGAAGCGCTACCTGTCCTCCTCGGAGAGGGCCGCTCTCGCTACCTCGCTGAGACTCACCGAGACTCAGGTGAGAAGAAATTTCTTTTTCTTTTTTTTTACTCGAAGAGTCATAACATTAACGTGAGTCTATAAGGCATGAAATACCCCAGGGTTATCTGTAAGACAGATGAGCCTGAGTCAGCCCTAATTTTGACCTCACCCCTTGCATTTGTTGTGTTCCCGGGTGCGGTCGTAGGTGAAGATCTGGTTCCAGAATCGGCGCAACAAGTGGAAGCGCCAGCTGGCCGCGGAGCTCGAGACGAACAGCATAGTTCACGCGCAGCGGCTGGTGCGCGTGCCGATCCTTTACCACGAGGCGTCGGTGGGCTCGGGCGGGAGTATCGGGCCCCAGGGTCCACAGCCGAGCTCCGTGTCGGTGAGCTCAGCGGCGTCGGTCCCGGGCCTCGCCCACCCGGTCCCCGTGACCGGCAATCCAGCCCAGGCCCAGCCGATGTTCTACCCGCACCACCACCACCACCACCACCACCATCACGTGCAAGCCGCCGCCGCTGCGGCCCTCATGGCCCATCACGTGCAACCACCACCACCCCCGCCCGGCTCCCAACAACAGCAGCAACAGCAGCAGTCGAGCGTCCAGGTGGTGGCGACCTCCTCGCAATAGAGACACCTCCCGCGCATTGTGTTTTTTAAATATGGTCTCGGGGCTCGTTAGGAAAAATCGGTATAGATGAATGTGGGTGTGTGTGTGTGTATAGGGGGCTCATTTCATGTGATTTCACGCGAGTGCAGCGGCTGAGGGGACTCTCCGGTGCCGGTGGTCGTGAGTGATACAATATAGTGTTATTACGAAATACATACATATATATATTTATGCACAATGATTATCAATAATTTATCGGTGACTGCGACTTATCGATGTACGTTGGTATGTTTGCGCGTGTGTGTACATAGGTAGGAAATTTCGTGTGCGTAATTAAGATGTCAGTGCCAGGTGGGTGTCGTATAACTATAGGCTCGCATTGGAGGTAAGCTTTGATATAATTTCTTTTTTTTTTTTTTTTTTTTTTCTCTTTTACTGTACTGAGCTGTAAACGGTGAAAAGAATCGAGAATATAAAGAAAATGAGGAAAAAAAGTTGTACATATGATTTTGTAAATACGTTGATTGTAAATGCATTTTTAATTCGTGCTTCGACTGTCGCTTGAGTGATCGTTACAGTGATTTTTTGGACGAGTGGGATGATGAAATTTTTTTTTTCCTTTTCAATCGTCATTTTTGCATCGATAAAAGGCTTCGGATCATAGTTAAGTTAAAAAAAAAAAAATAATAATAATAATGTACATATCGAGATTGAAGTTGAACTTACGAGCTGTTTATTTTAAATAGGTGTTCTGGAAAACTTTTTTATCTCTCCTGAAGATTCATTTTTGTACACGTGAAGTAACAAGTATGCTCGTGTTGAATACATGTATTATATACCATTTCTCCGTTGAAATGACAATTTCTTGTAGAAAGGAAAAAAAAATACAATGACATTCGCAAATATATCTAAAAAAAAAAAGAGAAATGATTCATGATCAAACGCAATACCTATACGTGTACCAGTGATACTAAAGCGAAACTATATAGAAGGTGTTTACTGCAAGTGCGTCTCGCAGGCAATTTGGATTTTTCATTTCGTGCTGGTTCCTACGAGAGTTAATTATATACATATAATTGAAATTAACCGCAACGAATGAAAGTCAAAGTGATTGTTTTCGTTTCTTTTTTGGTTCGTTTTTTTTTTTTTTTTTTTTTGAAGAAAATCGAAAAATAATATTTATTGGTGCTTAACTATACATACGTACGTTTTCATTTCACACCCAGTCACTCAATCTTTTCCTGTAGCTTTCAATTTCATTTTTTTGAATTCATTCAAACATTACTTTTTTTTTTTTTTTCATTCACATGACATACATGTATTCACAGCTGCTCCAGTGTTTGATTTTGAGACACGGACCAGCTGGAGTTTCCATTATTTCGAGTAAAAGATTTTTTATAAATTTTCCCAACATTATCACCTTGAAGGCTTAAAAAAAAGTGAGCTACGACGACAAGACCAAGAACTTTTAGCAAAAATAACTTGCATCATACTTTTCATCAAAGTGAAGCGCACAACACGGTGCACACAAACCCTCGAAAAGCTCAATGACGGTGACACTAGAAGAAAAAAAAAAAAAAAAAAAAAAAAAGAAAAAAAAAAGAGTCTGCACCCAAAACGAAGATCGAATCCACAGACGTCACGTACACGCAACAGCACTCCATCAGCAGTCATTGCAATCACGGAGATCGCAAAAGGTACGTACGTATATATACACACATAAATTACAGTTGAAAGCACATTGCACACATATTATGTATGCACGCGTACAAGCTACGTGTACCCCAAGCGGCTGGGCTTAAAAGCCAGCGAGGAGTAAACAAAAAGAGAAGGAGAGAAACAGAGCCGAAGACGCGTATCCGTCGGAAAGGGCTTTATTCCAGGGCGCGAAAGAGCTTCCCCCGCTCTTTTCGCCCCACCTCCCCCTGTTTCAGTTTTTCCGGATCACTGCGCTTTTGTGTGCTCTCCTCCTCGTGCTATGCGTACAAAAGTAAGCACTGCGTTGTTCCAGCAGGTTGGCAGATGCGTTGCTTATACGTATCGTCGAGCCTGTGGTTTGCATTGCATCGATTACACACTCGGCGCCCACAGGCCAGTTGTACAGACTTTTTAAATGAAACTCGGTGGACTTGGTGTTTTTTTTTTATTTTAACTTTCATTGTCGGCGAAATAACCGGTGCCTTTACCATTTGGCCGACGATTATCCATCGGTGCTGTCTCGATTGATCGACCCCCAGGTGGATTCAACCCCATTTAGCGCACGAAAAACTGTGAAAGTCGAATGGAGGGAGGGGAAAATCTTGGTAAAAGCTTCGGACGTACACGGCTGCGTGCACTTGGGAGCAAAAGAGGGAAGTAAAAAAGGGAGCAATCCTCTTTGCGATTATATCGAATGCCGCGAGAGAGACGCGTCGCGCCTCTTTGCGCGATTCATCGTACATGTACGGTAATGCCCGTGGAGCTCGGTAAAACGATTAAAGCGCCCCGCTCCCCGACCGCGAGCTTTTCCTCCCCCTCGCGACTCTTTTGTGCTGTTTTGCACGCGGAGATGTGTGTGTATTTTTTTTAACGCGCGCCTTCCGCCGCGTTGTTTCTCGTTTCCCAGTTTCGCCGTTTGTGGCTCCTTTCCGTCAGTCTGGGGACCGCTCCTTCCAACAAATCTACATCCTCACGTTTCAAAATGTTAAAAAATTTCGCGAGATGTGCATACAAACTTCGGCACTTGGTATAAGTACACAATATCTCACTTGTCTCGAGCACCCTTCCCCGCTCTCTTCTCTCCGCGTTTTTATATTTACCTTCTCATTGTGAGCGAGCACTTTTTGTACTCGTACGCGCTCGAGCGAAGACAAGTGCGACGCATCGTGGCTCTCGAAACGCGTGTTGTCTCTCCCACACGTTTGTCTTTTGGGCGTTTGTTTTGTCCTCTATTTGTTCACTTGGATAAAAAAAAATTGTTTTTATTTTTAATGGTTTTTTAATAAAATTTAACAATCAATTTGATGAGTTGTAAGCATGCGTTTATCATTTTTAAAATTTGTGTAATGTGCAGCGTTTCGGTTACTTATTGAACGCAAATATTTNCGCGTGTTGTCTCTCCCACACGTTTGTCTTTTGGGCGTTTGTTTTGTCCTCTATTTGTTCACTTGGATAAAAAAAAATTGTTTTTATTTTTAATGGTTTTTTAATAATAAATAAATAGTTACGAATAACGTTCGCTGGAGCAGCGAGTCGAAACAACGGAGGATCATCCTCAACATCTCTTCATCCCTTATTTGGAAAAGCCCGCATAGTCTTGTGCTTTTTGACGTGCATATGAAATAAAAAAAAATAAAGAAGTGCATCGAAAATAAAGACAAGATAAAAAAAAAAAAGAAATAGAAGAACACTCGAGAGAAATACGCGCTCACGCGAGTGTGTGCACAAATCGCGCGAAAGCACTTCAATCATCGGCTCGCGCGTACATGTACCCTCTGTTTTTGCACATCGTGCACACACACATAGGTACTGCACCTCGAGATTTCTCCTCTTTCTTCTTGTGTTTTTTTTTTTTTTTTTTTTTATGCACATACAAGCCGGCCCCTTAAGTGCGACTCTTTTCTCTCCCTCTTTCTGCTCACTTCAGCCGTTTGGGAATATACATCACTTAATATTGCTCGCACTGCGCGTACAGGCACACGTTGCATTAAAGAGAGCATTGTAAGGGAAGCAACGATGATCGACTCTGCGCCTGCGAATGCGACCTTGATTACTTTTTCGAATCACTTTGGTGCTGGCTTTTTTTTTTTTTTTTCCATCAATATTAATAGCAGATGCGAGATGATTTCCGTACATTTTCCAAACCAATCTCACCCCGGATCATGTAGAACATCTTCATCAAATGAAGTGAATATGAAGAAAAAAATGGCTCGAGGCGACAGTTGGCGAGAGAAATGGCCAAACCTCGTATTAATTCGTCTTGTACTCGCGTCCCGGCATGACGGGGGCAATCGGAACGCTACACGCCCATTATTACGGGGCTAGGCGAATACACCCATCCGTGGAGGGTCGATCAATACGGAGACACACGACTCTATCCCTCCTCCCCCTTTGCTCGCTCTCTCCCGGAGAGGCCCGACACCACGGGAGGACGTGTTGAATGTCATCTCTCCCTTGTATAGTGCCAACCAGGAGCAAAGAGGGAAATAAAGGGATGAAAAACAACGACAAATAAGTGTATCCTATGGCACGGTCGGAAGCCAGCTTATTACTCCTCACAATGCCGATCGCGAGGAGCGTCCCATTGTTCGGCTGTGTTGTATACATGGGTGTGCACACTTCTCGTGTTCTCGTTATGATGGAAGCGTTTTCTCGGGGAGTGCAGGGTATCTCGCGTGATTCGTCCTTCGAAGGAGGCCTGGAGAGTGGACAGAATAGTGATCGCAAGAAAGAGACGCATCACGTGTGTATCCGGGGATTTCACGCGGAGTATAGGTATTGGCTCGCGTTTCGACTTTGGGTCCACTTTACGGCCAATTATCTTGAGAAAACGGCGCCTATTATGTCCATACGGTGCAGTGTGCGTTTGCCAGACTGGAATTTCCCCATCGGTCCAGGGCTCGCGTTACGTCTCGTCCTCTCCGTAATCCGGGGTAATTCCTGCAAGGTGCTGGCGTTCTTAAGAACTATGATGAATGTGTGTGTGTGTGTGTGTGTGTTTTTCTATTCACCGATGCTCGAGAGAATTATTACGGTCCCACTTTTGCTTCGGGTTTCTCCCTCTTTTATGGATCCCGTCGCGTTTTTCTTTTCTTTTCGAATGCGGTGCTCGGAAATATTAGACGCTTGTTTGTCCGGTGACATTGCCACTCGAACTGCAAGATTTTTTTTTTTTTTTTCCATCTAATAGAAATTACTGACTTGAAACTATGTGTACAGTAATTTCCATAGAAAAAAGGAAATTCCCGTGGTCCTCGAAAGCAGCAACCCTTGGTATCCGTCCACCGTTTACCCCCAAAAATCCTTGCAGGATCCGAAAATCAAACAAGCCAATCCTCTCCAAACGCAATCAAAAGCAAACTTTAGGGAAAAAAGAAAAGGTCCACTCCCGGAGCAAAACGAGGATCAAAAGAGCCCCTCGCGCGAATCGGAACGACGCACCAAGAA